TTTTTGATTTTGAATTAGAGTTGTATCTTAGAGTCGTTGCAGTCCGCTAATACCTTCACGTAGGGAGGCTCAGTTGCTTTAGGACAACGTTTCAACGTGCCTCATTGACTCTCAAAGACTAAATCTTTCTAATTTATTTTTCATTGTTTTATATTGTGTTCAATTGCATTTGTTTAATTATTAGTTTTAATTTAATACATGTGNTCAAAGACTAAATCTTTCTAATTTATTTTTCATTGTTTTATATTGTGTTCAATTGCCTTTGTTTAATTATTAGTTTTAATTTAATACATGCGTCAATAGTTATATTATATGCATCCACAATATATGGATTGTTGCTGTCAAAACTAGTTTATCAAGTTGTTACTGTTTCATAAGTTTTATACATTATTTAGTTTAATTATTAAATTATATGTGTTAGGCTTATTCATTTAATATTGCTAAGTTGATGATCATTTTAGTTTTTTGTTCTGTCATAACATTTTTACCTTTAACATCATCTATTTCATTATTCCATTTCTGCAACACTTTTGTACAATGTTTGGTATGATACATGGTTTGACAATCCATGCCAAAATTTTNAACATCATCTATTTCATTATTCCATTTCTGCAACACTTTTGTACAATGTTTGGTATAATACATGGTTTGACAATCCATGCCAAAAAAATTTTGAATAATGTAAAAAATTCACATAAAAAATAAAGAATTTAATGCTATAAATCGGTGACATTGTAAAAAAAATTTTAAAAAAAAAAAATCAGTGACACCGTATGTTTAAACATAATATAAGGAAAAAATTTTAAATTTTTTTTAAGAAAAAAAAACCCGATGACACCGTACGTTTAAATATAATACAAGGAAAAAATTCAAAATATTTTTTTAAAAAATAAAAAAATAAAAAAAACAAGTGACACCGTACGCTAAAACATAATATAAGTAAAAAATTTAAAATAATTTTTTTAATAATATTAAAAAAAAACCGATGACACCGTACACTTAAACATAATACAAGAAAAAAAATTTAAAATAATTTTTTTATTTGTAAACTCTACACAAGAGGGTATTTGTGTCATTTTTCTTGCTTGTTCCATCGATAGCTTTATACCAACAAATAATACCACTCAGTAGCTGGTATTTATTAAAGCCATGTACAAGGGTTAAATACAATTGTACAAATCGGGTCGGTATTACAACCTANAGGAAAAAATTCAAAATATTTTTTTAAAAAATAAAAAAATAAAAAAAACAAGTGACGCCGTACGCTAAAACATAATATAAGTAAAAAATTTAAAATAATTTTTTTAATAATATTAAAAAAAAAACCGATGACACCGTACACTTAAACATAATACAAGGAAAAAAATTTAAAATAATTTTTTTATTTGTAAACTCTACGCAAGAGGGTATTTGTGTCATTTTTCTTGCTTGTTCCATCGATGGCCTTATACCAACAAATAATACCACTCAGTAGCTGGTATTTATTAAAGTCATGTACAAGGGTTAAATACAATTGTACAAATCGGGTCGGTATTACAACCTAAAAAAAATTATGTACATAATATGCAAAAAACAAGGTAATTGGTGGGTTTCAAGTATTATTTCTTGCTATCTCACCCTAGAATATCATTAAAACGCCCAAACAAACAAGCTTATGGTATATCTGTATAATAAGATAACTCACAAGTTGAATTTATCCCTTACACATTTTCTATCTCAAAAACATCACATTAGTCATTTTTATTTTATGTCCAATTATTTTAATATTTGATTAATTTGTAGTTTAATATAATTTTATTTCAAACATTATCCATACACAATAATATACATATATTGATAAAATTTTGTAGGATTATGTATTTTGAAAAAAATCTGCCTATATTGTTAATAAAATAATGGATAAACAGAAATTTTAAAAGATGTAATAAAAAATATGAAGTAAAAAAATTTATTTTTTAATATAATAAAATAGAGATTTTAGGCGTTTAAATTTTATATTTTATTGTACTTTCAAGTCGGAGTTATGCCTAATTGATATCTATTTCAGATGGGATAAACCGGTTATTTTACTACAGCTCGACTAATTCAAAGACAATGTTTATCCCATCTTATTTTTTGATCCAAATCAAAGATATGTGAGCCCGTCAGATTTTTTTAACCAATCTACCACTTTTATCCACCAAACCAAACATCCCCATAGGGTGTGTTTGCTTTAGGAATTAAAAAAAATGNAGATATGTGAGCCCGTCAGATTTTTTTAACCAATCTACCACTTTTATCCACCAAAACAAACACCCCCATAGGGTGTGTTTGCTTTAGGAATTAAAAAAAAATGATTGAAAAAAATATGTATTGGGCCTATCATATCCCTTTTATTCTTATATTCAGATTCACCCAAATATTATTACTTAAAAATAATCTAGGTGTGCGTGCAAGATCCTGCACAATATAAAAAGAACGAGAACAGATCTCTCCCTTGGTGAACTTCGGGTGGGCCGGTTGAGTGAACAAGCACGTTGCTTGGAACAGCCTGCAAGGTACGGTAGTAACCCGAAACGGCAACGGGAAATCCTGGGAAAGGAAGAACGCTCCTGTGAGGATGAAAGGGGTTCCTGGAACAAAGAAGAACAAGTTAGAAGGGCGCCGGAGTGTTTTCCGGCGTATCCCCTCCGACGGTCTAGTCAGTCTTTGAGTGAGAGAGAGGAAGGAGAAAACACTGAGAAAAACGTATTGTAGTAGAGAGTTTGTTATTTTCATACCCGCTTAGCCTTTTGCAAGGAGTATTTATACCTTAAAAGCTCATGATTGCTGTCAGTGTGGTCANGTTGTTGCATACCCGCTTTGCCTTTTGCAAGGAGTATTTATACCTTAAAAGCTCATGATTGCTGTCAGTGTGGTCAGTAGGTGATCATTAGGCACTGGTAGCGTGCACATTTGATTCTGATGAGGAATGTCTTCTCTAATTAACTGCTCGGGGTCCCGAGCAATCAATGCTGAGTCGTCGGGATGCCGACGGTACAATGTGCTCCTCTCGGGGAGGGCGCAATAAATGCTCTGTAATAGGAGCATTTATTGCCTTTCATTTCCGAGCCTTACCGCATTGAATGCGGTCTCATCAAGGGAATGGTGCAATTAATTGTTTGCTTTCCCAAGTCGCGTGTCAGCAACGGCATGCGGTTTGTCTGTCTTTGATGTGATATCATATGCCACGCGTCCATCCCCTATTGGCTGTGACCTCTGTATTCCAGTACGTTCTGACATTACTTGTGTAAGACGAGGTCATGATGAATAGCCTAGACTAGCCTAGGCTAATGACCTGTACGTCAATAGCTTATCCTGGAGTAGAGGAAGCGTCCAGGACGGGGTACCTCTCGGCACCGAGGAAAGGCTCATCTCGGAGACCGAGGGAGGTATGCCGACCGAGGTACATATCAGACCGAGGCCACGTGTCGGTTGTAAAATATACTGAATGTATGATCCTATATGACGGTACCTCGGGGGCGAGGACATTCGTGCGCCGATGGTGCTTGATCTTAGCAACAGTGTTTTAGTAAAACCGAGGACACGTGTCTTCATCATAGGGTTTTTCAGAAAAGTCCCATCAACTGCCCCCCAGCCTTCGATCTTCTGACACCGAGGACACGCGTCGTAAGGAGACGAAGGGTTTCCCAACAACCACCAGTACTTCATCATTGCCTCGAGCCGCTTTCCCCGGCTTGGGATGTCGTGCGCATTAAATGCGCCGTTTCGTTTTTCGCGCCCAATGATGAAAATTGCCTCTATATAAAGGGGGCTCCTCTTCCGTTTTCCTCGTTTTGCCATTTCGAACTTCCTCAAGAGAGCTTCTTCTTGAATCTTCGCCGGAGTTTTGTTTCTTCTTCCATCGTCGACTGCCCATTCTTCCTTAAAATCTTAAAGCCAGCAGACCCATCGTTGATTCTGAACTTTCTGGAGGGAGTCGCTTTAAGGTTTTCCAGAAAAAACTCCGTTTTGACATTCGGGTGAGTTTCAGAATCCTCTTTCTTTTCTTCCTCCTAGCCTTTTGTTTTCCGATTGACTGGAGGTGTCATCCGGTTGATACATAGCGATTTAACCCTCGGGAAACTTCCTCAGGGATTTCCAAGAACAAATACCCTCTTCTTTCTCACCTTTTTAGAGATGCCTCGTCGTCGCACTGCTCCCGAGAATCCTCAGGCTGGTTCTTCGGGGTCGGGGAAGTATAAAGTAAAGGGTAGTGAGCAGATCAATAGGTTTAAGGTCAAATATGGCATTCCCCCGTGCGTAGATATAGAGGATTTTGACCCGGTGTTGTACTCGCCTACTCTCGGGGCCGAGGATGCCATGCCCTTTTATACCAAGGCCATAATAGAGGGTGGAATTAGGTTTCCTTTACCCCCTTTGCTTCTTCAGTTCCTCTCTCACTTCCGCCTCTTCCCCGGGCAATGTTGCCTTAATATTTTTCGAATAATTATGGGGGTCTTAGAGCTCAATAGGCGCCTCGGGGTAAACATTGGGCTCAACGATCTCCTTTTTTGTTATTCCCTCCTGAGAGTCATGCCTCACCAACACTTTTACCTCAAAGCCAAGGACCCCTCCATGTACCTTGTAACTCATCTTCCCGACTCGGACAAGGGGTACAAGGATGATATTCTTATCTTCAGGGGATCTTGGCAGAGAGGTGTTGGTCCCGAGTATAACGACTTGTTATGCCCCCTGGAATGGAGAACGACAAGTACGTCGGTTCCTTTGGGTTTATTATTTCTTCCTCCAGACTTCCCACGTTCATAATTACTTTTTTTTGTTTGTGCAGATATTCCTGCTCGGGAAACAGCTCCTCCCCCTCGGTCGCTGGTGAACTTTGTCGACCTAATCACGGTTTGGAGATTCACGGGTGACGACGGGTTTGGTCAGGCTGCCCACGTCCTGCTGAATTATACCCCCGGCGGGTATAAGAAATTTTCACAGCTTCCTCAGCCTTTTGAGCCTTCGCGGTGGTCTGNTCCAAACTAAGATGCATTCTGCAAGGCTCCCTCTATACGCCCCCACACCTTCAATCAAAACCACAAATCCAAGCCCAAGGCTATCAAGTTTTCACACAACAAGTGCACGGAAGTCCCATGATAATTCTCTTGTATGCAAAGCTTCTAATTCTTCATCATCTTCTCCAATCACAGACTTTGATCTCTATGATCTTCTAGGCGTTGATAGCTCATCTGACCAATCACAAATAAAAGTGGCATACCGAGGATTGCAGAAGCGGTGCCACCCTGATATAGCTGGCCCGCCCGGCCACGACATGGCCATCATACTAAATGAAGCATACGCTCTTCTCTCTGATCCAACTCTACGTTTGGCATATGATAAGGTCAGTATAGGTCACGAGAATCTTAGTATATCTATCCTTACACACTCTTCTACCGCCACATATAATCGTAAGTTCCACAATATAACTGTTAGATCACGAAAAATGAACGACGTTGGTGAGTGTCAAAGATGAATAACTATAGATGTGTTTTACTAGATAGCTTATGAGCAAAATATCTGATTTTGTCAATTTTGATCTAAGTATTGACTTGAATCTTGCTATTATATGGATTTAGTAGCTTTTTAGTGTATGAAAAAAAATTGAGTGGTGGTTTTGATTGCGAAGGAATGGGGTTTTAGTATTGTATTTTTTCCTTAGGGTTATACTGGTCAAGTAAGTGTCACGATATCCTACACGACTTCAACTAGTATTCATAACTTGAGGTTCGATGTTTAAATATATTCTTAGAGCTACGTTATCAAAGGCATTTGGACATTTACTAAATACCCTTTGTACGTGTCACAAGTGGTTGGTACGAAATTTTGGAAAAATTTGAATCACACTCTTTTTAAATTAACTTATTTTTATAAATACCCCCTATGTTTTCTATATTTGTAACAACACCCCCTTTTGGTTCATATATATTTGTTTCAGATACACCCCCTATCCTTACTTTACCATTATGGACCACTCAAAAAATTATGATGTCATTCTAGGTTATTTTCAAAATACCCAAATTACCCGTGTCTCTTTCACCCGTCCTCCTTCTCCATGTTATATGAGATTAATTCATTCCATTTTCAATGACATAGACTTGTAAAGGTTAGTCAGTTTTGGACACGACTTGTTAATATGAATAATAAACAAGTTAGGTTAGCNTTCAATGACATAGACTTGTAAAGGTTAGTCAGTTTTGGACACGACTTGTTAATATTAATAATAAACAAGTTAGGTTAGCGTCAAACAAAAATAACACGAATTAATGATTAACATGTTTAAAAGGTATTAAAAAATAAATGTCAAATTTTTGTTATTTTTTTATCGAGTATTGACAAAATCCTTATTCAAAAAGAGATTTTTTTTTATAGTTTTATTATTATATTTAACATGTTAATTTTTAATTTATAAAAAAATATGAGCATGAGTTCGATTAAGAGATAATGAAATCTTAAACTTCAATTTTAGTATTTATTTTTTTATTCACTAGTTATATGAGTCCACAACACACATGATTCAAAAATAAACACGTCAAGTTGACGCGACACGATTAGTTAAATGAATTGGATTCGAATTGATTAATATTCGAGACGAACCTATAAATGAACCTATTCTGTCTTCAGTTATGCAGGCTGTTTCTCCACGTGCTATTAGAGGTCGAATGTTCAAGGAATATTATAATTTACCCCACATCGATATTTTAATATCTCCTTAGGATATGGTCTAGTGAGCCTATGATGCATTATTGATTGGTTTTGAATTGAATTTCTTGACACTGAATTTGAAGCTTCGAGGTTAGAATTTCGTTTTTGCATGTATATGGTGGAAAACAAAAAGCTAATTTTTGTCAAGCTACGAACTAAATTCAAATGCTTAGGCTCCCTTCTCATGCTCTTTTTCCTAGGCTAAACATATGAATGTACATCAAAATAAATCTTCCTAGGTCTTGTCTAATTTTTTTGAATCTGATACATGTTGGCCGCATAATTTTAGCTTAGCAGTAATTCTATGTACTATTGAATTATATTTACTTACGGTCTTAAAATCTTGGAATTGGAGGTTGAACTATTCATGTCTAGTTTTCAGAAGGATATTTTTTTGGTGATCAAACCTGACCATTAAATTTTTCCACAAGTCCAAAAGATCTTAGACAATAATGTTTTCATTGTTTAATCCTTCATAAATGTGATGAATCTCGGAAAAGCTCAACATCTAAAGCCCATGACATGTAGTTATAATCTGAGATGTCTAAAGTCGGAAATTCCAATTTTCGTGATGTTGTCCATTTTTTCAAAACTATTTAAAACAAAATAATCAAGTTAGGTAAAAATGCTACGCTCAGCAAATTGCCGTTATTAGTAGCAGTTGATCACGCATACACTAAATATACAAGCGGTACCTCAATTCTCTTATGTATCTCTATAGTTCTTATGTATCTCAAATCTCAAAATTTCAGTTATTCTAAATTTGCTTGTGGGGCATAAATGGGCTGTAAATTGTGATTTACCTGATAACTTAAAAGTTCCAATAGTTCCTGACAAAAATTAGTGCTTGTATATGGCAATTCATAATCAACAAAACTAACAAGTAACTACACTATTGAGGAAACTTCTTATCTCACCAGCATTTAAGTAATTAACACCTAAATTATGACGAGGGCAACCATTCCTAGTTCTAATGGAAAGTCGAAGCTTAGGAGAAAAACAAGAAAGAAGAAAAGAAAGCTGGTAATTAATAATTATGGTGGCCATGTAATAGCTTTTTGTAATTTTGACTCGGCGGATAGCCTAACAGAACCAGATTATTCAAACATCGGCAAAGCACTCCATTGATCAGCAGTTGGTATGGCCGAAAAATCAACACATAATGGAAAATCCAAGGGTTTAGATGTGTTTATCATATGCATTTTTCAGGCAAGAGGAACTCAAGACTAGCCTTAGTTCCCTAGATGAATAGTAATTCTTTTATGGTGGCTATTTTTCACACTGGGAGGCAATGATGCAGGAGCAAGCAAAGATTGAAGAGTTACGGGGTTATACAAGCAAACCTATGTATTCAGTATGGTGTGGATCAGAGAATGAACAAAGAGCCGTTTTTGTTGATGAAGTCAAGTGTGTTGGTTGCTTAAAATGTGCCTTATTTGCAGAAAAGACATTTGCTGTTGAATCCATTTATGGAAGAGCAAGGGTTGTTGCTCAATGGGCTGATACTGAAGACAAAATCGAAGAGGCCATAGAAGCATGTCCAGTTGATTGCATCTCGTAATAATCTTTACTCTCAGCTCCTCTATCGTATCAGTAGATGTCTCATTACTAAACACTTCTACTGCTTCTAGTATTGAGTTTTAGGAATTCTTTGTTTAGTCAGTCACAAAGTTTGCTGAACCATAGACTGCTGAGCAGAGTAGAAACCCCAAGTAACGGTGTATGTTGAGAAAAAGAGTAATGATGTATGAAATGTAGGATTCTTATTTTCGAAGTACTTTTTCATTTGGTTTTTCCCTTATCATTAGCATTATTACTCATTTGAGTATTTTTAGCTGACCTAAACATAGCATTGTGGAGAGGTCCAACTTGGCAGCCTTGGAATTCTTAATGTCCAAGCAGCCACGTGGCAATGTCAGAATTGGTGCGGGCAACACAGTGGGTACTCGTGTCTCAAACATCTTCGTCGACGTGGAGAAATTTCAGGCAAGGTTTAAGGAAGCAAATGATAAAGTTTCTAAAAACCATTCCAAGGTAAGAGCAACAAAATGGTCTTCAAATTCTAGGTGAAAAGTTTCGGACATATTTTGGGCTTGCCCAATTTAAAGTTTACTAATATTTAGTCAGTGTTTATGACCATTTCTTTCTTTGTCCTTTCTTTTTGATGAAATAAATTTTATTTGGTTGCCTAATCATTAAACTTCTAAAATTTTCTTTTTCCCAAGGATCTTCTAATATACTTGCATATGCAAATGTATTTGTTACATCCTTCTGTAAAATATTACAGATTTTTATTCGAGCTGTAGATCCAAGGTTTTTAGGTTGCCATGGGCGACTTCTACAAAGAAGACTAATTACTGATGTTTGTTTAACAAATTCACCTGACTAATGCTTCTAAGGGGGCCATTGCATGCTAATTGGTCAGAATTTTCCTGTGCAACAATTTTTCAAAAACGAATGTGTTTTCCTGCCCCATTTTATTCATTTGATGCTGAAATTGGTAGCATACATACCATTGTGAAAAACTTGGACTAACTGCAACTTGCTCATAATAGGAATCAGACATCCAAAGAGAAGCAAGAATTTCTGCTATTCAAGCGGTCAGATCAATCTCAAATTGGTTGTACTGGAAATCACCCAATGCAGGAGGATCTATGTCACATATTCACCAAAAATTGATACCAATAACCCGAAGGTCCACTGAACCAAATATCAACAAGCTTCGAGGTGCTGCTGCTGCTAGAAAACAAGCAAGAGAGACTGGAAAGCCTATTCGCAAAGTCTCATTGAATTATATTTACAAGGATGAGTATTGGACTCCATCAACTCTTGTCCTTCCAGAGGCAACCAAGAACAGTCCTACCTCTAGAGCAGCATCTGAGCAATCTCCTTCTACGGAATTGAAGAAACTACACAATAACAATTTTGTGGATCAAAAGAAGAGTCGGAGCAACCTCTTTGTACAAGGTGTTCCGCTGGGAGCAGCTATAGTGGCAGCAGTTATAGTTCGGTTACAGGTGGGAGAAGGGGTGGCTGGTGGATTAGAAGAGCATTTGGGAGGTTCTTTAGTATTGGACATTGTTAATAGCTCCTGGTTACAAGTTAGCCTAGCAGGTGTTACATGGTATCTCATTGGAATGGCTATAATAGAACTACTAGAGAGCCTTAAAATTAAGTTAGGAATGTATAAGAAATAGGGAGGTCACTTAACACATTGGTTAATATGTAGCTGATCTGAAAGTACAAATTGCAAACATGTAATTTTATCAATGTTATACTTGCTGTATAGAGGGCTGCCTTGAACATGAACCTTTTTTGCCATTTCCAATTTCGGAAGGGATTAAAGTTGGGTTCTACAAAGAATTGATCTAGGATCTTTCTCAAACTAATAGATATTTGTATTTCAATAAGAATTGTATATGTTGTTATCATCTTTGCATCTCTATTGGATGCCAGAATTTGTGACGGAATTCAAGTGCCCATGAAGTACAACCATTGTAAGGAGCATGGAGCATATGAATTGTGATGGTAAAAAAATTAGTTTTGGAAGAGAGACCTCAGAAAAAGAGCTTCGAAAAACGAGTAATGGAGCCAGAACTCATAAGAGCAGAGCTCTGGTTCACGAGTCAGGTCTGATCTAATAATCAGCTCTGCCTTACATGACGAAACCATGATATTGAGATAATAATTGAAGATTACGGATAAGCAAGGATCAGAAAGGATAGAGATAAGAGTCCCTGTTAGTTAGGGCAACAAAGATCATCTACCTGAAATGATAAGGGAGACGAGACTTCAAGCACAAGAGCAACCTAATCTTCTCAACTAATCCATAAGAGAGACTTGGGTCCATTCCCGAGGGAAAGTTAATCCAACATACCTATACATATAGTTCTGAGGAGATACACCAGGGACGTAACTTGTAGCCCACAAAAGGGTACTTCATATCTTAATTTCATATTTGACTTAATTATTGGGAGAGTTGACATGTGGAGCTCCCTCTACGGTTTTTCACATCTTTCCAGGTAAGATCGAGGTCCGATAACATGACATGGAGGTCGCCTCAAATTTTGAATTAATAGTTTGGTGTCGTATATGGAACGACATGATTCTTGTTCTCATTAACACCATTGGGAAAGGCATATAACTTCTACATCGGAAACTCTTGATGGTGACCACAAGATCGATGGATGCCATTAACGGAAATATTCTCAGAGGATTGCACTCTTAAGAGCTGTCAGAGGAATATAATTGATAATACCCAAAATGTGCCTAAGGTTGAGTTTGGGTATTCAACTTAGACCGTTCCGGCTCGGGCACTCAGCCCATCCTGGATGACCAGGAAACTTGAGGCTAGACCCTCCATACTTGCAACTGCATCTCTACAAAGATAGCACAGAAGGCAGCGGGCTTCCAACCAAGCGCCACCCAAATTGTAACGGGCATATAGTTAGGCAAAAAAGTCGCAATTGCCTCAACACCCTCCATGGCCGTTGCATGATAGTGCAACCGTTACAAGAATGAGACAAGAATCACGCCAGAGAACAGGCGAGGCCCTAGATTAACTATAAATAAGAGGCATAACCCTCACAAGAAGATATAAGCTTCTAGCTAACAAAAATACTCTGTGTAATCTCCTTTCATTATCAATAATATCTTAAGGAGCAAGAGAATCCCTTCAGAGTGGATTAGGCGAGCTCCCGAGTTAGTGAACCACTATAAATTCTCTGTATGTGCCTCATCCCTTTTTTATTCAAATTCTTAAGAGCCAACGAGCTCTGACTGAACTATTCAATAACCCATTAGGCCCTAGCTATCGCTAGCTTTGCTCATTTGTGTAATAGACATCATCAATTGACGCCGTCTGTGGGAACAATTATTTCTATAAAAGTTTTATTGATTATCTTCAGTAATTTATGGTTTCTATGTGCAACATGAGCAGAATTCATATGAATCCTTTGCGTTTACAAAATCAACCAGAGTTTCCAACTAGAAGACGGCAGGAAAACTTGCCTAATCCCGAGGCTGACCCTCCAATGGTGAATCCTCCTCTAAACAATGAACTCGAGACCCTTCGTCAAGCCAACCAGCACTTTCTCGAACAAAACAATGAACTGCTAAACCTCATCCACGCCCAGCATCCCTAGAGGTACAACCAACCCAAGATGGTCCCCATCATAAGAAACATCAATGTCTCAATCCCCAAAGGGAATATACGGAGGAGAATGAGCACAGCCAATCATTCGACAACATACGCCGACGAGCTCAAAAGAATGAAGAAGACGAGGAAGTACAAAGCCAGAAAGGGGGGCTCACAAGAACAAGTTTTCCCCACTCCAACTAGAAATAAAGGAGCAGTATTATGAGCAGCGTTTTAGGGAGATTCAACAAGAGCTCAGCCATATGAAGGAGGTTGTAAGAGTTAAAACGCCCAGTTACTATGGACACCCTTGTCCAGCAGACAGGGTCTCGCTTTACTGTGGAGGTTCTGCATTTTTCCCTTCCACCAAAGTTCAGAAGGCCTCATATAGAGATCTTTGATGGAACAAAGGATCGTATGGACCATCTTAATACCTATAAAAATCAGATGGAGTTGCATGGGTACCAAAACCCAGTGCGTTGTAGAGCTTTTGCTACTACCTTGAAGAGCTCAGCCTTAGTCTGGTTCAGCTGTCATGCCCTGAATTTCCACAAACCCGGAGAGTGGGTGAAAATGGAAAAGAAAAGTAAATGAAAGGTTATTAAGTTGGATAAATTGGTTTCTTATTCATTTTTCAAAGTTTTTCAAACCACTTTTATTTTATTTTTAGCTTATTTCTTCAAGGTTTCTAAACCCTTCCTTTTGACATCCTTCCCATCTGTTTAAAAGGTGTTTTACACACTTAACAAGTCTTTTAATTTTTCATAAAATTTTGACATAACCTCCTTTGTTTTCAAGTCTTTTTTCCACCTAATATTCACAATATTTCATATGCATAATTATATCACAATCCACCCTCACTCGATGGCCACAACCCATGTAAATTTAACATACATCTCTTATTCTCAACATATGCATCTAATTGCCCCAATATAAACATATGATACTCATTAAATAAAGACATCCCAAATATCAATTGAGTTTACACTCTTACACATTAAAATGATCTAAGACTTTTAATCCACTACTTTTTCAAACTAAAATACAAGTCATTTGGGCTTATGCCCATACATAGAAAATATGCCCAATGGTACATTCAAGTCCCTTTCCTCTCCTTCCTCTAAGACTTTCTCAAGTCCCAAGTACCGGGAGCCTCATTTGTAATATGATATCCCACGAATGGGTCAGCTCAACTGTTGGTATGACAAAGTGCTAATGCTATGAACAAATTTAAGGCATGACATGTGCAAGTATACATTTTTTAAAAGCTACGATCTCATAATCTCTCAATGCTATGCAATGTCAATATGCATGACACATCCATGCAACTCTATGTCACTCATGTTTCACTTCACGGTCCGGCCCCATCAGCCTGCGAGTTTTGTCATTGGCCAGATTTTGGGTTTTTTACCACAGGATCTACACCCTCATAATGTATATCACCAAGTGCTCAACCCACACTATGTTCCAAGGATTCATCTATTCTAAGATGCCATGCTTTTTCTCAATGTAAATTTTATGAAACATTTCTTCAGACACCTTATCTACATGAATGTGAAACACCATTCAATGGATTAAACATATGATCAAGCTTCATATTTTTATGAAACATTTCATCAAATACCTTATCTACATAAATGTGAAGCACCATTCAATGGATTTAAACATATGATCAAGCTTCATATTCATTACTTTCACAATTTCTCAAAGAAACTACAAATACACAAACTACCAATTCATGTAATAAATCATAACTCTCAAACCACAAGAGTTTCTCTACATGAACATAAGTTATAATATAATAATCCAACACATAAGTAATATACACCTTTACCATAGCAACAAATTGTCAAGAAACTCAAATAACACAAAAGTACTTAGACCATTAATTTTAAGTTTTCAAAGAAACTACCAACTAAATGATTTTCTAACATCAAGTAAACACCTAAATCATTCAATCAACACATAGGAAGACAAGAAAACTTAAATTTATTCCCAACTTAGCAAAATATCATACCTAAAATGGTTTTTCTCAAACCAAGAGAGTTGTGTTCTCTTTATAGCCGAACCAATCGGTGAGAATGTAGCCCTTGTTGAGAGGAACAACTTCTTAGAAGAAAGTCTTACAAAAATCTTGGCCTAGGAATGAGTTTTGGTGGCTTGAAGCTTCAAGAACCTAAGATTTTTCTTCCCTTTTCCTCCAAAAATGTGTACTGACCTTTTTCAGCCCAAAAACTGATATTTTTACATTAAGAGGGCTGTATTTATAGTGGAGGGGTAAAGGTACAAAATAACTCTTTTGCCCTTGATGAATCCGAGATACCGTTACACTACAACTTGTCCCGAAACGCCTCAATTCTATATTTTATTTTAACCAAATTTTTTAAAATTATTTTAAATAAAAATTTAAAAAAATATATATTTTCGCTAGTGGCCGGGTTTGGCCTGTCCCACCTAGGCCGCCCGGAATACACTTTTTGTCTAATTTTTGAAATTATTTCTGTTTATGCTCAAATTCGTACAGTAGGTGTATTTTAACATTATAAGCATATTTATCTTCTGTGACATACTCAAATTATGCTCATAAATATGACTTATACCTAAATGATACATATGTAGTGCACTACCGACAAATGGTGCATGAATAGTGCCCTACCGATAAAACTGAAAATTTTATCCTTAATTTTCAAATTTCTACATTAGCAAGCTAACCCCAGCATCCATTTCCGCTTTGGGGAGCTCTCCATCTCATTTGTCTCACACTTCATAGGAGTTCGAACCTATCGAAATCCAAGCTACCACTTGCTAAATGTGAAACAAGGACCAAATGAGCCACTACGGAGCTACATTCAAAGTTTCAATTCATAATCTCTAAAAGTAGATGCCCCTGACAAGAAATTTGCCCTCATTGCCTTTATCACCGGGTTGGGAGTCTAGTCAAAGGACTTGATGTTTTTGATCTTCAAGAGCCCACAAGCCAGCATTGTAGAGGTCCTAGCCAAGGCAGAGAAATACATTAATGGTGAGGAGACTCTCCTTTTAAAGGTTTGGAGCTCAACTACCCATAAATAGAAAGAGAAAAGAAAGGACCGAAATCTAAGGAAGGAAAGGATCCGAGATTAGTCTCCACAAAGAGACAGGGATCACACCCTAAAGAGGAAATGAGATATTAGAGGTCACTTGGAACTTTCGCCTCAAGAGCTACAACAGAGGTATGCCCCATGGCAGTTCACTCCTTTCAATGCCACCGTATCCCAAGTACTTTATGAGGTACAAAATGAAATGTTTTTGAGGTGGCCACCCTGGATGAAAGCAGACCCCACAAAATGGGACACAATGAAAT